CTTATAGAAATATATCATGGAGGGGTGGGAGGGGGAGATAAATTGCTCACATATTTCTGGAACTTTATCCTTTCCCTCTTCTCTCCCTCTTCAGTACTACTTCACAGAATACCGAACACCAGTAACTGAGCATCTTATTTGCAAATAGAAAAATCAGAGGCTGAAACAATTCATGCTGCAAATGGATTTCCCACATTTAAAAAGGTCACGAGGGCTAAGTAGTATCTTCTAAAGTTTTTGTTGACAGATTGTCAAGTAATTAGTGGAGAAAGGAACTTGAAACAGAAATGTCCTAAATAGTGACTGCTAGTTGAGTATGTACCAGAACTCAAGATGAAACAAATATGACATGATTATGATTTTTTAAATGAAACACGATTTGCTCAGTTTTAAATGTTTATTTTACTGAACAGGCAGCTGAAATACAGGAATGCTGGCAGGCCCAAACTCCACTGTCCTCCCTGCCAAGCACGGTTCTCCCACCCTAATAGCCTCTCATGAGTAAACCAGAGCTTTCCTTTTTTTTCTTCCCTTTTCTTAGTTCATCCTTACAGATAGCATAATAAATATGTTCCATTTGTGTCCAGATGGAGCCATCAACAACGCTTCTTTCTCCCCAAAGTACCCTGGTGGTAGAGATGTGTCTAGATTGATAGCTAAGTGATTATCACTGTCTCTGGCAGGGTCCCCTCCCAGGGTCAGGTCTCTCTATCCTAGTCACCCCACTGTTTGTCCATAGGGTAGGGCTGGGGTTTCTCAAGCTTTGACTCACCTTCAGAAATGAGTCTTGCCTATGTCCTCCCCTCCCTGATGGAGTCATGGCACACACCTGTTCTCAGGTGTCTGTTCTCTAGGGAGGCAAGATGCAGAGCCTGGCTTCCTGGTTTGAGTCCAACATGGCCCTTTGAGGATGAAAGAGCAGATGCCAGACTCAGGACTTGCCAGGCAACAGTGCCAAGACCGGCCTGGATGGCAGGGGTGGAGTCGCTGGTCCACTGAGTTTCTCAGGGCCCACCTTCCCTAGACGGTGACTTATATGGGCTGGTTTGAGGGGTGCCAGCAAGCCTCCCCTCCTCCTTTGAAAGAATGATCCACTCCCCAGCCAGCCAGGGTGTCTGGAAATCAATGGTGACAGATGTAAGAGACTTGGGACAGCCCTATTTTCTGGATTCCAGATTCATCCACCATTGGAACCAGCTCTTGCATTTATAAAATTTATCATACAATTAGTTTTCTTCATAGAGTATTGTGAAAATTTGTATACGGAAGTGTTTGTAAGTTGAGTGACTAATAAAACTGCACCCGTGTCTAGCAGTATGGTGGCAAGGGACTGGTTAGGGTCTCTTAGAGGAGGGAGGGAGACAGGCTTGTTGGGAAAGATGACACCAAGTGCCAGGGAAGAACGAAAAGAGGTGGGGCAGGAAGAGGTAGAGAACCAGCTTCCTAGTTCTGTCATTAATAGCCTCTGAAAGAAGTTGCCTAGTACTCAGGCACTTCAGTTGACTGAAAATAGCTGTGAGGTCAGGAGCCCTGTGATCCAGCTTTGCATTCGACATTAGCCACTGTGTGACCTTGGGCCAAGTGTCAGTTTCCCTTCTATAAAATGGAGATAATGTGGCTAACGGAAAGTTGAGTGCCAGGGTTTTGGGAAGTTTGTGTTGGATGCATATGAGCTTGACTGCTCCTATCCATATTCATGACCTAGAGGTCACAGCCTCTTCAAGGCCAGCTATATTTGGCTATCTACCCCAGCCACTCCTGGAGCATCCTCTGAGATGAGAGTATGATCATTGTTATACCCCAGGTTGCATCACCAGAGAGAGTTCTCAAAACTAAGCAGGAGATGTTTATTGACCAAGCAGGAGGCCAGTGAGCAGACTGGGAAAAATGAGGAGTAAAGTTGATTCTAGAGAAGCCATGTGGGTGCCTGAGATATGAAGGGAGGGCGTTGTCACTCCACTCATAGGCAGCACACATACACTGATGCCTCCTAGGTGCCAGGCATGTGAGAATGCCTTGCCTTGTGTCCATGCCAAATCTGTCTTTGCTGCATGCTTCCCTTCTGGAGATCTTGCATCTAGATGAGCAGAGTGGAGTGGGAACCTGGAAGTGAGGCATGGAGGTGGCAAAAGTGGAATGCAAAACGTGGAATCTGGAACTCAGAACCCAGAATGTTACTTTTTTTTTTTAGAATGTTATATTCTTAAAGTTGATAGGCTTAAGATGTCCATCGACAGATGAATGGATAAAGAAGAGGTGGTATATATACACAATGGAATATTATGCAGCCATCAAAAGGAATGAGATCTTGCCATTTGCAACGACGTGGATGGAACTGGAGGGTGTTATGCTGAGTGAAATAAGTCAATCAGAGAAAGACATGTATCATATGACCTCACTGATATGAGGAATTCTTAATCTCAGGAAACAAACTGAGTGTTGCTGGAGTGGTGGGGGTGGGAG